TTTTTTTTTTTTTTTTTACTTCTAGCATGGTGAAAAAAAATTTATAGACTTTATAGACATAAGAAAAAAGTAGTGCAGAGAGAATTTTGAAAAAGAGATTATTCACATTTTACTTTATGCTGATGTGTTCCTCTAAGTGGATACTAACAAAAGCTGGCTGTGGTACAGATAACTGCTGAACACAGGTTTTACATGGAGTATGTCAAATGGTGACAGYTGCACCTGATCAAGTGTAGTGTGCTCTTTCCAGCAGTTCTGGAAAGACCAGCTATCCTAGGGAGCAATAAGCCACCTGAGAATAAGSTGCAAATATTTATAGTGCAGGTGTGAATGATTCTGAAGAAATCTGTCTGGCTTTTTCGAACTATGTAATTTCTACAAATCTTGAGCAAAGAGATTGTCAGAATCTCAGGATGCCACCAAGGTGCGGTAATGTCTACAGCACTGCTTTGCTTTAAGTATCAATGAAGCATTTGGAAGCACCAGAGAGAATGATTCAGGAGATAAAGCATGATTTTTCCAGCTAAGGTGTTATTCACCATGAACTCCGATTTAAAATAAATAAATTGAATAAATAAATCTTGGTACAGACAGAAAGAAAGAGGAGGAAAAAGTTCTGTTTCTAGTTCTTTGAAGTACTGCTTATGCATTGAGCTATATGTCATCTGTATGTATTTGRGCTAGTAATACCCTCACATTAGAAAAAGGCTAAGTCTTATTCGGTAGACTTTGGTGCTAATTTAACGTAACAATAGTATAACAATTAACCTTTGTGAGATTCTTCTTTCCGTCCTGGAATATCTTTGTTTCCCCTCCACCCACATAAGGGATATTAACATTTTAATGTTAACATCAAGATAAAAAAATGTAAATTTTCTATTTCCAAAGTGAGTTTTGGCTTTGGTGCCTACATAGTGGTTGTATTTATTCAGTTGCTATGGTCTATCTGGTGTGGATGCCATTGGTATTTCCATTTTCAGAAGGCACTGGAAAAAATGCACTTCTCTCTCTGAATTTCTCATAAATATATGCCAAGATGAGTCCCCATATGTATGTGTGATTTTTCTACTGCTGCTGTAGTAACATCATGACACAAGCCAATTGYTCATTTATTTTGCTTGTATTTTAAAATAATAAAGATTTTTTTCTTTCTGTTTCAGTGTGCAAGGATCCTCCTTATAAGGTTGAAGAATCCGGGTATGCTGGTTTTATTTTGCCGATTGAGGTTTACTTCAAAAACAAGGTATAAAATCACATGCTTTTCATCTTTGTGTTAGAAAAAAATCATATGGAGGTTTTAGGATTTACCTATTTTTATGTATTTTTTTTTAATTCCCAAGCTTGGTTTAATATTAGGATTTAGAATATTTTTATAAATACTGTTCTTCAAATGAACTGTACCTTTGTCTACTTTTACTTTTGAAGACATCCCGAAGTGATTAGGATTACCTGATAAAATAAATGAGTTGACTGTAATTTCTCAGAGGGATTAATAGCCTGGTCAGATGTGGATATACTCTTTAACTAATGCTTCAGGGAGTTAAATAGGTGCTTAAAAGCTTCAAGAAGAGAGGCTGATCTTGATCCTGTTGATTTCATAATGAAGCCATTGTTCTGTTTTAATATCACTATTCTTTATAGTTCCTGCACTTTTTTTTAAACTTGCCTTTCTAAAAGAGCCTTTTCATTCTGCATCCTTAGTCTAAAACAACATTTTTTAGAATGTATGTGAATATTGATTCTRCTCAACATTACCAGGGCACAGTTTTGTTTAAAAACAAAACTACAGCTCTTCTACAAAGCTGGTATTATTGTGGTAGCTCACTTTCTGAATATAAATAAATACTGCGCTTATTTTGCGTCCTTCCAGTAACAAATTCAGAGATTGCCTTTAATGCACGTAACAGAGTCTGTATTATGAATAACTAGTTCAGGCAAAAAGAGTTCTATTTTCAGGGAATAAAAAAGAATAAGTTTGCATAGTTTCTTGAACTGAGTGTACAGTATTTTAATAATTGCAAAATGTTAGACATCTTTTGTCATGTGCTTTGGTGCAMCTGTTACTGTACCTCACACATGCTTGTGAGGTATTTGTGTGTTTATTGTATAACATCAGGGTGTAGTTTAACAAAATTGTTTTAAACAAGTAGATGTTTTATCATCTTTGACTTGAATATCTGGATAGAAGAAAGGACAACTATGTTAATTTCTATTGCTTTTAAATCGATTTTTCTATTATTCTTTTTTCTTCCATGAGAATTTCTGTCAAGGCATGACAAGTGGTTAGTTCTGCTCAGACACTTTCTCAGTTGTATGTTTTGAACAGCTAATTCTGAAATGTTCCCTGTATCAATCTGTGAAGAATAGGGCTTAATTTACCCCACTTGCTGATGGAAAAAGAAACAAAACTGCCTCAGTGAGTTTACTGGCTTTTTTAGTACCCTCTTTAGCTGTGCACCCAATATGAAAGGAATTTGTTCCATTGCAGGAAGTCTAATTTTAGAGAAGAAAAGCAGCCCATGCTGTTTACCTCCTCCATTCARAATCCATACCAAACACAGGGAGACAAGCTCAGAAGCTAGTTGTACATTGAAGCACCTCTTGAGAAGGCTTCCAGTCTGTCATTTCTTTTTTTGTTTTCCACTCAGACTTTGGCTGCCTCTGATGACCGTGGAGGCCTGCAAGGCTTGGGAGTTACTCAGCAGGAGTTGTGGCTTATCCTGAAATCAGGAAGGTGCCAGTGATTGCAACTCACCTCACTCTCAAGCAACATTAGGAATTAGGAAGTTGGCAAACACCCCTCACCCATCTTTTAGTGTCATGGAATACAACAAGCTGCAGTCAGACTGTAAGTCAGCTAGCTCTTCATGCAGCAGCCAGCCCTTTTCTGGGATCAGTATAATAAGAAGGAAAAATGGCCCCAAAATTGAGTAGTCATTTCTGAGGAAAATTACTATTTCCTCCAAGTTCAACTACTCTCCCTCTCCTAAGGCACTTCACAGGTATTCCAATACAGAAGAAGAGGGGATAGTTTGGAGAAGGAAAAGGAAACAGACTGTCCTCACTTATTCAAGGTAGACAACTTACCATTTCTGGTTCAGCAAGTATTCTCATGAATAGAGAAAGCAAGGACGCCAGAAGCCATTCTGGATCTTGAACTCAAAGAATTAAAATGTTTCTATTCCTAAGACCAAACAGAAATTGCTGAAGATCTAATGGCTATTTCTCTGTGACAGAAAATATCCCAAGCTCTAAAGAGTTACATCAACTTCTTTTCAAAACCTGACATGTTCAACAAAAGTAGGCAGTAGATGTTTGCTATTAAGCCATAGTCTTTGAATAAATCCTTTTATATTCRGGACTTCTACACTGGAAAATGCGATTACTTCAAATATACTCATTATTAGCCTTATACTTGCTTTCAGTGTCAGGGCTTTTCAAATAATGGCAGTGGGACTGAGAATGCTTCATATATTAAAACACAGTTTCAAAATCCCTAGCTGTGCTCATCTACCTTTTCTCAGATTTGTTTGAAGCCTCCATTCTATGAATTCTTACAATTCTGCTTTTATACCAAAGGGGCTGGTACCAACTGGTTACCCATGACATTAGTTTTCTAAGCAAACTGGGAAATAACCCATTTTCCCTTTTTATGAAATAAATCCTGTGTTAATCTCTTCAAAAATAACATTTTTATCTGTGGTTGCATATGGAAAAGGACTGTCAAGAAGCTAGTTCATATAARGGAACTACTGTCTTCTGTCTCCAGAAACAAGCTGCTACACGCGTTTTAGCCCTTATCTCCATCTGAATCTGCATCAAATTCTTCTCTTGGCCATACTTGAGACTTATACGCTTCCTGCTCTTCACATCCTTTGCTTTCTCTATCAAAACTAAATATTTTCTCAGGGCTATTTGCCACTGAACAGAGCACAAATTGCTCTCTAACTTTGATTAGAAGTATAGTGTCAAATATCTGTTGAGATTTCTCCTGTATTTCTTTCTTCTCTTTTGCCATGGTTTCAATTTTGCTGAAGGCTTTCTTAATTTTGAGCTTTTACTTAGGTTTCTCCAAATAAAACTTCCATTGTTTTGGTGGCTTCTGTTTGCACATCTGGGCCCTTGGATGAAGGGCTATTTAGGGTTGTCTTAATAGAATGWGTAACTTATTTTTGGTTTCTAGAACAGAGCTGTGTCAATGCACAACACAAAATGTATTTAATATCTTTTCTTCTTGTAACACAATCTAGAGTGTATTCATTGACATTGTTTCTTTCTTTTTCTTTTCTTTTCTTTTTTTTTTTTTTGTGAAGGATTTCTCCAAACAATAGAGCACTAATGATTTTTTAAAGATAATTTGCCTGTCCTGTTTTATCCTTTTTTCTTTCCAAATTGGTACAGGGAACATTCAATTTCATTGCTTCATTTTGATAGCAGAGAATTTTATTTATTTGGAAGCTGCGGTGGAATATTTGAAATCTAGCTGGTTGTATTGGCTCAAGAGAATGAGATGTCATTAACAAATGAGCAGATACCGTAGTGTAGTCAAGTATAGTTTGCTGCAGCAGTTACATTTTTTGAGTTGTTTGATTTCTGTGGAGAAGATTGCAAATGTATTGCAGTGTCCTATATTAGGGAGGATTCAGAAGTGTGACTGTGGTTGTGTTGGTGACTGAACTACCTTGTCTCAGCTGAATGATAATTCTTGACTCTGCATTTCACTTACAGAAAACATGATTTAAAATACTTTTAATAAAATATTTTCAGGAGAGCTTGGAGTTCATGAAGCTCATAAAATTAYTAAGTGTTATCATGGACTCATAGAAGTTTTTCTTTTTTTTACTGTAGCTCAGCTGACACTTGGTAAATTCCATCATGTGTTTATGAACACAATGAATGGTTAAAATAATGTAATGTTCATTTTAATTGTCAGTCTTTATGTAGTCCATGTTTTCAACTTAGTTAGCTTTGGTGTTAGATATTTCTATCTGGTTATTTTCAATCCTCAGGAAGAACCTAAGAAAGTTCGATTTGACTATGACTTATTCCTGCACCTTGAAGGCCACCCACCTGTAAATCACCTCCGCTGTGAAAAGCTCACATTCAACAACCCGACAGAGGAATTCAGAAGAAAACTGCTAAAGGCAGGAGGGGTGAGTCCTGCACCTGTGTCAAAAGCCATCACCATGAAGATGTTGCTGCTTATTACTGGTGCATGATTAGTAGAATAAAAACTGACATGACAGTGAAAACAAGTGAAGTGTTTGTGTTTAACTTAGTTTAGGAGCTCAGTGCTTGTGTCTTGGAGTGGGACATGTGAGCAAGGGACCACATGTCTTTCTTAACTACACTATTCAGACAGTTGCATCTTGCCTATTTTAACACGCAAATGACTCATGTTTATTTCACCAAAAGCAATAAGGATCTTGGGCCTTAAATGAAGCTTGCTTGCTATTTCAGGCATGARATAAATTAAGGCTACTAGGGTAGAATTAGGTCAGAAGAAAATAAAATATTTCATGTTCAGAGAGTAATGACTGTGTTAAGCATAGTAATTTCAATAACTATATATGAGGCAAAGCAAGTCAGAAAACCCTATATATAAAGTACATCTATTTAAATTTAATGTAGTGGATAGCATACGCACTTTGAATCAGCAGATGTACAGAGGTACGGCTTTCACTTGTGTAGACTTCTTCATGAGTTCATAGAATGAATATTTAAAAAAAAAAAAGTAAGCAAGTTTGGAGGGAGGAGAAGGTCAAACTGTCAGGAGTGTTTTAATATGATGCTTTGTATGCATGTGGGCAGCGTTCTGCTGCGCTTCACTGCAGTTGCAGGCCTGGGCAGGCTGCGGGGGCATCGTGAGCTCCTGGTCCAGCATCCTGCCCCACACAGGCTCAGCTGCAGTACCCAGGCACCTCAGGGCTTTGCCCTCCGCAGATGGAGCCCAGCAGTGCCCACGCTCAGCCCTGCCCTGCTCACTGCCATCGGCCCTGCACTGCTCTGCTGAGCTGCCCCCACTCACAGCTGGGAGTTTGTGAATTTTGTTGGGTTTCCACTGACCCATTCTTCCAGCCTGTCTATGCACCCCAGACCAGCAGCCCTGCTCTTCAGAGTGTGAGCTGGTCCCTCCAGTTTGATGTCTTCTGCAGATTTCATGTGACAGAGTGCATGCTGTCTTGGCCTGCAGGTCACTGGAGGAAATACGAAGTAATCCTTCATTTTCTGCGTTTATATTAGGTCAGTGCTTATGTTTACATTTCTGAATAGTCGTAAGCAACAAGGAGTATTAGTCACAGTTGGTACAATTGCATGGCCGGAGATTCTAGGGGTGAGTTAAATAGGGAGCAACTTTTAAAATATCCTGTTTGCGGAGTAGAACCTTTGGCAAAACAGGAATAAGGAGCAGGCATAACTGGAAAGAGCTTGTTTTCTTCCCAGAGAAATGCTTCAATTATAGTTTTATTGAAAGAGAAGCATGAGCTATGTTTTGGTTTTGCATGTATGAGATGTAAATCGCTGGACAAAATAGATATAGGTGTAGGCAAGTAAAATATTAAGATTATATCCTGAAAAACTCAGAAGTTACTGCTTTTTATATCATGTCATGTTGTCAGTGGAAAAGTTTTACCTGCTAGTGCAATAAATACTAAATCCCCAAGAGGCAGCTTGGAGTTGTGGGCACAGATGACAAAAATAAACATAGAACGTACAACAAAAAGTATGTTTATTTTATTCATTGTTCATTAGATGTTTAGGTTATATTTAGATTATATTTTAGGTTTTTGACTTAATAAAAGCAAAAATTCTAACTAATTATTAAGAAATACAGGGACATATTTATMAAATTTCTGCACTGAATATATCAGTGTGTTTTACAGTGCTTTGCATGATTGTTGTTTGTCTTTTGGAGAAGGCAAACTTCTTGAGGACTTGATGAGTTTTGTTTGGTTTTCTTTCTTCTAAGACTCCAATTTTCTTCCTGCAATTGGTTTCTCTTTCCTAAAGCTATTAGTCTTTCATGCTTTCCTCTGTACATTTTCTTACCTTGCACTTTGCTCAATCGACTGCAAGCAGTTGAGGTATTTATTTCCTGTCTGTCTTTTTGTCTTGGTGAGTAAATATCTTGGTGAAAGCAGTTACAGCAGTAAGACCTCTTACAAGGATTGCTGCTGTTGTTGTTGTTGTTGTTTTTGACTCATAAGCAGTGGAGAGGTGCATTTAAGTAGAATAAGACAAGTAAATGAATTTAGAAAGTGTTAACTGTCATGTAACTACTGTGCTTCAGCTGAAAAAAAGTACTTAATTGAAAAGTAAGCTATTGAAAAGGATTTTGCTCTTATGTAAGTCAACTTAATACTTCTGTCTGTGGCTGTCTTAGAAGAAAAATAAGTAAGAAATTATGGATAACTTCCTTGTCTGTCAACAAGTCAGACAAAATCAACTTTATGTTCCTCAAAATGTATGTAAAATATTGAGTAGAAGCTGTAGGAAAGAATTCTAACACTGAGAACGTCTGCTGACATGTTTTTAAATCATGGTGCGTAGTTCAGTGCATCCTTGCGTAGTATCTGCACACTTCAGAGCCTGGCTCCCTCATTTGTTTTCCTCTAAGCAAGATTAAGCAAGTTACTAAATATGGTTCTTTGTTTTTTTTATTTTCATAAGCACATGTGTATTAAAAATTGTTTGTACTGGTGGAGAGAAGAAGCACATGATTTTGTGTAGGGCATTACTAACCTGGCATGTGCTTTGGTTGTAAATCAAGGTATTTGCTCAAAGTGGAGAGAGGCATGAGGAACAGGTGGAGTTATATTTGCTGTTGAAAATACTGAACTTTACTCATCAGAGTTACTCCAAGCAGTGCCCTTCTCCTTTTTCTGCAGTGCAACTGTGGCATCTTGGCCAAGGCAAAAAGAGTATTTAGAGTCGTGTCTGACATTGTCTAGATAAGCTCTGTGGAATATTTATTTGTTAGTGTTACAGTTGATATAATCAGAATTGAAGCCTAAGTGTACTTTCAGTCATAATTAATAATAGGCTCCTGAGTTGCTGACTTCTCTTCCTAGCTGAGAATTTTATTTTCTAGTCCTTACAGGAGGAAGTTGTTGCCTTGGCTACAGGTATGACATTTCTCTAGTCAGGAAAGTCACGCTGAGCCTTTGGTTCAATTTTACAAGGACTACATACCATTTTCTAACTCCTTTGCCAAAGGATATGTTAGGGGAGACTGTCAAAGTCTATCATCTTCAGAAACATATCTTCTGCACAGGACTCTCTTCTCCCACAAATAGGTTTAGTTAAGCTCATCTCTGCTATTTACCTACTTCCACTTGACCTCATATATCATAAACATAGAAATGGTTATGAGAAATATCTTCAAAAATGCATGGAGCAAATTAACCTTAATAACTAGGTCCTATTGTTTATATTCCACCTTTCTTAGTATATCAACTAARTAACATTTTTTAGGAGTGTTATTAAAATTGTAACATTGAGCATTGTTTTGCTTTTGCTTCTTCAGTATAGTACCTAATGATGATTTCTTTGGTTAGCAGACAGGAAGAGTATTGACACTGATGGGGAAATAGTGGTCATTGATTTCTGTTGTTCAATTTTTAACTAGATATTTGAATGTCGAATCTGACTGTAAAGAACATATGATTCCCTTTATCTCTTTTTCCATTGTCAGTCCTGGTAGTTCTGTTGATGTTAGTAGTTCTGAAGCACAGATTATAAATTTACATTTGAAATCTCATCTGCTTCATGAGCCAATAGGAAGAAAATAATTCTGAAAATTCTAAATGACAGCTRCTAATAACTACCTCAGTTGAATTCTGCCTCTGGAAGCCTAGGTTTTGTCCAGGTATCATCTGTTTCAATGTGATTTTCCAACAACTTCTTTCTGAGCCTTTCAGGAAAAGAACAGTGAAAACATTTTCAGTTCATATTAAGACAGCAATATAATACAGCCTTGTCTGCCATAAGTCAAAAAAAATAGAGAAAGAAATAATTTTTTAAAAGAAAATAGATTTTTTAAAATTAAATAGAAAAAAATTTTTTTAAAGAAAATATTTGTACAGTGTTGTACAGTGTGAACTTTTGTAGTAATAGTGTCAGCCTTTTGGAAGAAGTCTTCATTCCATCATTTATGCCTTAATTGGACTGAAATATTGCACATACAGTATTTCAGTTTTTTTTAAAAGGAAAAAGTTTTATAGGTACTCCTTAGAGAACAATTAACCTGACTCAAAAAAAAACAGCACAATTTCCAACATTATTACAAATACACATAGTTATTAATATGTGGTTTGAGGTTTCAGATTTAGAGGATGCAAGCAGTAACTAGTAGAGTAGCATTGACTTTTTTTTATATCAACAGATGTTTTCTTTTTGTCTGCTTCCTGTAAAATGTGTCTGCAAGTGAAAACAGCTCTACTGTATCAGGCACAAAACATTTTGAAACTATTTTAAAACTCTTTGAAAACATTTCAACTATTAATGAGAAGAAGAAAGAGAAGGAAACATTTTGAGATGGATACAATTTATAGAAAACAGTAATGGTAAAATAAATTCAGATTTTGCCTAAAGATACTGCATTCAGTTATTGGAGAGTGTTTCATGTCCTCATGTTTTCACTGGGTAACAGTTGACAAATACCTCTCTAGTTACCTCTCTTGCTTTWTGTAGGTTGTGAAGCTTATGTTCCTAACCAACTAAAATAAAGAAGAAACTGGGGGGCATTTCCCTCTTGCCTCTGTCTTGCTGCTTTCGTTGCCAATCCTGTGTCAGCTGGAATAGTTGGCTTCCTTCCAGAGCCAGCCTCAGATACATTGCTGCTCTGGGCGTTTTTCATAATTATAAATTATTGGATTTTCTTTAAGTATATACTGAACTTTTTGGGTTTTTTTTTCAAATATAGAACTTAAACATATTTGAGACATTTTCTTTTCCCCTTAGTGTTTATTTTATTTAATAGCTAGATGTTCAAGGCAATTAGATTTTTTCTTGTGACTCTAAGTGTCATTGGTTAGCTTTAAGGATAAATGAACTTGCAAGTAGTAGTTTTTTGTAGTTTGTCTACTCCTTATGATAAACAAGTACAGTGGTATCTTGATACTGTTGCCTCAAATTCAGAGAGGACCTCCCA